GGGGGGGGGGGGGGGGGGGGGGGGGGGGGGAGGTTGTTGGTGTCGTTGTCATATCTGCGGCGGTGTTGATTCGTCCGAAGTTCACTCGCTCGATCTTGACTAACGTTGTCTAATGTAACGTGCACGTACTGTTGCACGAGTTACAGTGGTGTCGAGTATGTTGCGCAAGTGTTTCTGTTTCTTTGCGCACCGCCGCTATGGGTGGTCGTGGGTGTGTAAGCCAGATTGAGGTCGTCACAATTTGAGCGAGTGCGTGACAGGGTAAACGTCAACCTCAACATCGTCGCCCGTCCCACCTCAACTTGTCAATATGTCTGCCCACTCTGTCGACAGGCCCCGAGCTCTTGTCTATGTGGTTCGGAGAGTCTGAGGCGAACGTGCGCGAGCTGTTTGACAAGGCTCGTGCGGCAGCCCCTTGCATCCTCTTCTTCGACGAGATGGACTCTATTGCCAAGGTAACCGTGACATAAACGTCTCTACTGTACACAAGACAGGCACGCCAACACAGCAGTTTGTCGTAAGATTTTGGTTTAGGTTAGAGTTTGCACCCTCGGCTTGGATGAGACGACCTCCTTCGCCCAGGAGAGAACACAGTAAGTAGATACAAGCTCTCAATTGTGGTATAGACCATCTCTCATGTTTGGTCCGGGAGTGTGCGTGCAGGCAATCATGCGCCTACCACTTCCCAGAGAAACACAAGGATTACAGTAGTTGAATCAGTTGATAGTCTGCAGGGGACCTGATGAGATCCTAAATCTGGGCAAGTTCCACGATGGAGGTGCGACCGCTCGTCATGAGTTGTTTCGTTCTGTACTGTGTTCCCTTGAGGTTCTAATGAAGCCGTTATCGTATAGTAGACGTCCTTGGTCTTCTGTAGAATATATCACAACCCTACACTTCCTGTTGGAGGATGTAACGTTTGTTGATCATTACACCAAGTGACGTTTTTTTCTCGCACGGCTTTTCTTTCTGGTGGCATCTACACACATTCACATACCTGTCTTCGGTGTTTTCGCATCTACCCAAGCATGTACCGGGACGCAGCTCCAGTATATCCCAATCCTCTTTGCTGAGCGTACCCCCCTAAAAACCAACCCCCCCAACTGTTGTTGTTTTTCTAGGCCCGTGGTGGCAGCGGCGGGGGGGGCAGCGAGGCGGCGGACCGCGTGATCAACCAGATCCTGACGGAAGTAGACGGTGTCGGCGCCCGGAAGGCCGTGTTCGTGATCGGCGCAACCAACAGACCCGACATCCTGGACAATGCCATCACCCGCCCTGGTCGTCTGGACCAGCTCATCTACATCCCTCTGCCCGACATGGACAGCCGCATCAGCATCTTCCAAGCTAACCTTCGCAAGGTCAGCTCAGTCACTACATCAGAGACAAAAGAAGAGATACGAGTATGAGTTCGTTGATCAGAGGGGGAGAGAGGAGAGAAGTTTGGTCGTCCTGTACCGTATATGAATTTGAATATTTTCTCGCTTGCGTGGCGTTCAAGCGTTGTGGCCATACTCCATCCGGTTACACCTTCGAAATGGTTGGCGATAATGTTGACGCCGTGGTGCCATCGTGTGCGCTGCCGTATCTACTTCCAAAATCTACCATTACGCTATCTACGATAATCAAGTCTCCTGTGGCGGATGACGTGAGCATGGAAATGCTGGCGAGGGCAACCCAGGGATACTCCGGTGCTGACATCACGGAGATCTGCCAGAGGGCAGCCAAGAACGCCATTCGGGAGTGAGTTGGCTGTGGTTAGGGTTGGAATGGCGATCGCGGCGGACAGAAGACAGAACCATCCGCGAGTGTTTCTACGCACACGGTTGTTGTTGTAGCCGTTATTGGTTGCTGATGGTGTTGCTCTTGTTGCTGCTGCTGCCGCTGCAGTGGTCGCTAGCTTTGGTTGCCTTTCAACTTGTTGTCTTACCGGCACTTTCCAACACCTCCTCTTGTTGCACTAGTCCAACAGGCGGAAATACAGCAGGGGCAAGGGCTAGACTTCGTTTAATGTGCCTCTTACGTAAGATGTCTACAGCAAGGATGTGATCGCAATGTTTGGACCGTGGGCGCATCAAACGAAGAGTAGTCGAAACCTACACGCGCCGGCAACCCTCTTTAATGGTACCTCTCTCGCGCCGTTGTGGGAGCGATTTCCATGTTAAGTCTACAAGATAACGGTATGACATACGGATCATCGAATGTCGACATCTCGCCAACTGGCTTCTGCTGTCTGGTCGCCGTCGCCCCTGCTCCTGAGAATACCGCCATGCACTTGCATCAATTTGAGCCACCCTTTCCCCCTCTCTCCCCCTATCCAGATGTGTGGCAGCGGAAATCGAGCGCATTAGTTTGATCGAGTCTGGAGACATCGACGAGGACGATGCTGGCAGTGACCCCGTCCCCGCCATCACCAAGGTGTGTACTTGTGTGTCTACAATATCATACAATTACCACGCACTTTACTTTCAAATGCTGAGTATACGAGGGACTCTCAATATCATACAATTACTACACAGTTTCACATACTGAGCACACCAGGGGTCGAGTAGACGAATGCCTTTAGCAGGTGCTGTTTGCTTGTTTTTTTTTGTCCAGTCGAGGCGTTTATTGGGGGTGGCTGATGCTGAAGATGTCGATCTGTTCGTGCATTATTTCGGCACGTGGTTCATCGATGCTGTGGATTCCGTCGGAGTGTTTGTCGTTGTGCTGTGGCCGTGCTCGCACACGTGATGGTTGTTGCATTGTTGCACGATATCTAGCAGTTAATAGAGAAAACTTTGGTCGCCTCCGGTATCACTGCTGCCAATTCTCGGCACAACAGCAACATCCCTCACCACCGACTCTGCGGCCGTGTTCTGTTCTGTCCTATCGCCTGTTGCTGCGTCTTGTTGCCCTCCCGGTGGTGAAGGCGCATTTCGAGGAGTCGATGGCCCACTCTCGCAAGTCTGTCAGCGAGGAGGAGCTTGCCCGGTACGAGTCCTTCTCTACCAACATGAAGTCTGACAGAGGGTTCGAAGAGTTCTCGTTCGATGACAAGGAAGGAGGCAACGGCAACGACGGAGCCGACAACGAGGACGATGTCGACGACTTGTACGGCTAAGGATGACGTTGATGTTGTTCCGCGCCGAAGATGAGTCTTGCTGACGATTCGGCGACTCTGAAGCTGAAGCCGATCAACGGTTGATTGGGTTTGGCGTCTCACTCGAAGGTCCGCCGGCGTGTCGGTTTGCGTGAGCGTGCTCGCTTTGAAGATTCTTGGCGGTACCGCTTTCCGATGAATCTGGTATGTCGGGTCAAACAATCTACCAAGAGATGCTTGCGAAGCGTCTGGCCACCTCAAGTCTACCATATTTCCGACCAAGCTTTGGTTGGAAATAATTGGATCATGGCAGGTCTCATCAATCAGTTTTGGTTTCCGACATGGGTGATAAATGTTGGTTGGGATTGCTGCGACATGGCATCGTCTTGGTATGCGGCGAGATTCTTGTTTTTTTTCCTGTTGGGGTATGCTTTGGATTCTCTGAACTAGACACTGGGTATGTCAAGTAGATTTTGGGCAGAATCCTAATGGAACGCGGCAGTTGCCAAGACAATTGCGGTGTTGGTGACGATGCCGATGCTATGAAGTGGCGCACGGTACCTGCTCTGAAAGAAAGGCGAAGGCTTGGTTTTGTGCACCACGGGCAAATAAAGAAACACGAGTAATACATATCGCTGGCGTTTCTCACGTGGTGCTTGTGGCGTGTTATCACTGCCTCTGTGTTGCTGAGAGGTCCAGTCTTGTCTGGTCTTGCGAGTTTCCCCTCTCGCTTCCGTGTTATTGGTTGAAGGTGGGTCTAGGTAGTTGGCGCAGGAGTCTGAAGGAGGAGCTCTACCGCACACGCTGGTTGTTGGTTCTTGTTGGGACCTAACCCTGACCATATCCGGTCAGAGGTGCGTTTGGTGTTGAGCCACGGGGGGGCAACGATTGGTGCAAGGGTTTTCAGTTGGAGATTGATTCTATCTGCAGGTTTGCTTTCTTTTAGCGTGTGCGTATTGTCCTATCGAGAGTGTGGTATAACGGTAAGGTGGTAGAAGTAGAAACGTTTGTTATCGACGAGAAAAAGCCATCGATCACTGTTGGAGCAGCGTGCGTTGATGGCCTTTCGAAGCAGCGGCCGATCTACGCGCGCTCGCTCACGCAAGCTCCATTCCATGCCGTGGAGTTCAACCTGCCACAGAACGAAGGTTCGTCACCTGGTAGGCTCGAAGCCTAGAGAGGTGTACATTTCCACCCACCTCAAGCAAGCTCACGGTGGTGTTGTCGGAGTTCGATGCACGACGGACAATACACGTTTATCTAGCGTGAAACGTGCCGTGTTTCGTGTCCGCTACAATTGTGCTAGAACGGGGTATTTAACCCTTAACCCTGAGAGCAATAACCGCTAAAAATAGCGATCAGGCCTGAATGATGAGTGAGGTTGGCCCGATTTCATCTGTTTCGTGTGCATTGGGTCGACACAAAAGATAATTATGTCAAGCCCAGGACTTCAACAAGGCGAGTATGAACGCCTGCTCCCTTAGATTCGTCACGATGATCACTTCCCCGCACGGACCAGCAGCGAAAAAATAGCGCTTACGAAGGCCCTTTGGTCGCGGATCTCCCGCGTTTCTCAATTCACTCGAGAGCCAGTACCGCACGTTTTCCCAAACGACATAAGCAATTGCCGACGATCGTGTCTTCAAACTGTATTGTGCTTGTTGGTTTGCATAACACCGCATTTACACTACCCCCACCACGTTCGGTCAGACAAACTTGCCCGTTATCGAGTCGACTGGACTCACTTCTGTCCCGTACGAAACGTTGACATTGTGGCAGTGCTACTCCTACTCCGGCGACGACTCCTTACCCCCCTATGGACACGCTGTTTTTGGCACTGGACAGGACACATGTGTTAGGACAACACTCAAAAGGCACAGTTACTGGTGTAAAATAAAACAGTTGTGTATGAACATCTTGAACGGCGACGCATGCATGGTACGCTAGGCTATCAGCACCCTTTGCTTGAGTCTAAGTTATCAGCACCGCTTCGCTGCCGTTGCCCCGTGGAGCTTTGAAGGAGTGTTTCTAGAGAACCATCTTGACTCCAAAAGCAACACAAGGGGGGGCATAAAAGCAACTCCACAACAGAGTGCTGCATACAATACGCCACTACATTGAGACAAAGTCCTAAATCAAGCACACACCAGTCACTCTCAACAGTCCAACGTTTGCTCCGGCACAGCGGCGGCGGAACCAACACCACGACAGCCTTCATTGTGGTGTACTTCCTTCAACCCCACCCTGCTGGAGCGATGTTTCGAGACGGGTCATGTCCCTTGCTTCTGCTACCACGGATCATACTGTCATCATGCACACAAAGTTAGTACACTCGTGCACTGCTGAAATCGCGACACCGCCGTGCGTAACATGAAAAAAAAATCCACCACGGGCAGCTATTACCTAGGGCGGGGAACATATCCAACCGTACCCTTCGCACTCTTGTGCCACTACCGATCACCGAGCTAGCCAAGCCAGCAACGCACAGTGGACCCTGAGATGCCAGGATATCCCGGAACAGTCAAGGCCTTACTCGAAACTCAGCGCATGTCCACAGACAGAACAACACCGACAGCTACACATCTAACCGTACTTACAGGCACATCGCAACATCATGGGTTTCAGATGTCTTGCCTTTTGTATGCATGGACTATCGCACTGACTCGACCTTCGTCGTGCGCATCTCTTTCCATGAGGAGCAAGCAGCAGATTTTACACGCTGCTGTCTCATCGGTACAACCCTAAAAAATAAAGGTTTCTACGCGTACAGTAAGGATAGCGCCGATCCCTGCATTTACAGTACTTGTGACTTTGAACCGTTACGAAACCGACGTCTTGACAGATAGATGCCTCTTCGGGAAAGCAACACTCCACGGCCGTACAGACATCTTTCCTTGCCGTCTAAGCAAGGCACATCAAGGAAACAGCCATTACAATGGTCCTTGTGTGTCTAGTAGCCTCCTTTCCCACCACAATCTTGGCTTGACCAACACTGGGAACAGTCACGGTAGGTATTGGGATCATTGGGATAAGGGCGGGTATATCTATCCCGCGCCACCCTTGTTCACCTTCACTGCAGTGAACTACATGAAAATATGATCCTGCAGCCGCTTACTCCACTCCTGTCCCTCCCATCTCGTGCCCCGTCATTTTGTCTTTAATATATACTTTGGTGGTCTGTCTCATGATCATCTGCTCACCTTCACCCCATGATCGTTACCTTCCTTATCCTTATCAACACGCCCTGGGTACTTCAGTAGTGTTTCCTGCGGCCACTTGGTTCCAAATACGTTGTGCTGCATTAACTACTAGCTACTAGTGTTGCCAGTTCGCTCCCCTCCCCATCCTCACCCTTTTTGGGTATTGGCAATTAGGATATACAAGCTGTGCACCGTCACCACGGACGACCCATTCATTCAGGCATGGGTAATTCGACCACGGCACACGGCACGGCACCTAAGTAAACTAGCCTAACCTAACCTTCACCTCCATCATTGCCATGCCATGCCATGCCATGCCATGTCACGCCACTACCATGCGTTTGGTAGACGGCAGGGGGCTGAGGGGGCAACGCGGACAGGACCGTGCCCAAGCAAGAACCTCACTCGGTCCTGATACTGAACGAAGCACTTCCTGTGACGCATCACTTGGAAAACATCCGCCCATATCGACTTAGCGCGGAGAACCTCAGCTACTACGGTATTTTAAGAGGGAGCCACGGCCGGTGCGCCGCAGGATGCACCACTAGCATTACTTACTTTCTCTCGCGAGAGAAGATATACATTGTCGGGTGGCCGTCGAGCTGCTGCCGTTAGTAATAGCGGCCTGTTTCAAGCGGCTGGTTGATGTTGTGAGGGCACTTCTTGGCAGGGTTGAAGCGCTTTCCCTGGTCATGAGCACACAAGGGTTGGGGGAGAGATCCCAAGGAAGGGATGGTTCACGGACAGAGCTTAGCTTGACATAGCTTAGCTTGACATGGCGAATGCATAATATCCATTTTCATAGGATCACGTACACACGGTAAACGATGGTAGAGTGCGTTGAAACAATCGCACTGCTGTTACAGTACGGGCAGAGAAGCGACCAGCAGGAAAAGGCGCGGCATCGTGCATGGAATAAACCAGACACATCCTGCTGCTGACGTCGAATTCCTCATTCCGTAACGCTTTTTCGGCACAAAACCAAACGAAAATCTAGTTCCACCGCGCAGGCGAGCGGCAAAAATTAATGACAGCGCGAAATGTCTGCTGCAACCAAGTGCCGAATCTCGGAAGGGGAGGTGGCGTCACTGCATCGATCTCCACAAAACGACGCTTGGTACACCTTCACGCGAGTCTCGTCGTGGAAATGAGCGTTCTACGTACAAAAATGAATAGTAGCATTTGTTCGCAAAAGACGTGGGTGCCCATGCGTGTGTCCAACAGGAGGCGCTCCGCGCCAAGGAACCAAGACAAAGATATGCAACCCCGTTGAATACCGTACTCTTTGTGGTTCCGGCTCGTTAGGGTTGGGAAAGGGGAAGGCTTGTCACGAGTGGGTGGTGGGTGCCCTCTCCACGAATATTTTGAAGGCAATTTGTTTTCATCAACGGAACCCCTTCCGGGTCCATGATTTCGACATTATTGTAGTCCGCGATGCGGCGGCACGTGCTTGCCTCAACTGCTATCGTCGCTGTAATTCCTACCAGTAGGCATACCAAGATCCTCATCGCGAACGTACAAGAGCTGACTCATTCACTACAACAAGGTATCTTTTGTACTTTTGGAATCGCAGCATGGCACGAGATTTACATACGAAGGCGTCACAAATCGGATAGTTCCAACATCCTCCCATGTTGGGTGTAAGTACGAACTGCTGCAACTATGGCTGTGTGGATGCATACAGCAATAATAGTTGTGTTGTAGAAGTAGCATTACAATCACAACATCCCAACCGGATAGACTTCGGTGAACGGAACTCTCAGCAACTGACGCCTTTTAGCCTTGACAGACATGGCGCTACTTCGGACAACACCGCAACTATGTACCACACTGTACTTCCACGGAAAAGGTCATCGAAGCTAGTGTACCTATATATGTGGAGTGGAACCAAACACCGATCAAACGGAACATAGTCTACATTTATACATTTACATGTATAATGCAATTGCCTATCCTATCCTATCCTATCCTATTCGTGGTTCGGTCGTTGCGCCCCTTGCAGCTCATTCCATGTAGGTGGTGCAGGTGAACGCAGTGTTCCGAGGTTTCCTCGAACGTTGAGGTTTCGACCAGGCCAGACGTTCATTCCTTCCTTCGTGCCCACAGGCACCCCGAAAATTGATTGATACAGCAGTACACTTCCATCACATCTGTCTTCAGATGTTCCGACACACTTTCATCTACTGGAACATTTCTACGTAGAAGCTCATACCTTCAGTCCCGATGCCGGTGCACCTCTGGATAGCCCCGAGAACATGGCGCTGTTCATGGAAGCGATCTTCGCCGGCCGCTGCTTGCCACTTGTTCCTTGCTGGAGAGCTGTGCTTGCATTGCACACAGCAGCACACAACACACAGCAGACCAAACTCACTTGTCAGTTGCGTAGGATACATAGAATTCCGTACAAAACATATAGCAAACACACCCCCCTCATTCATTGATTCGTTGAGAGGGGGACCAAGGTCGGGAAGAAATGCACACGCCCATCGTTTTTTTGTTGAGAGCCGAGGTAGGCAGCAAGTAACAGAACACGTTGCACCAGGCGTGCGGTGTGGCACCTCCTTATAATTTGGGAACATGCACCGGACACCCCCGTCATGCGCGAGGAGGCCCCGAGGGCAAGGCAGCAGCAGCAGCCGGCACTCATGTGTCGGTCGTGCATTCCGCCAACCTCATCACGAACGGAACTTCTTGGCAAATAAGAATGGGGGCTGCTGTTGTCGACTTGCAGTGTGTATATTCATCTGCATCACACAGGCGGTCTTTTCTAGCGGCATGTATGATGTGTGTCAGGAGCCAACGCGGTCACACAGGACGAATTCATTCACCACCTTGGTCGACGGGCGTGCTACTATGCTGCTGTTGCATGGAAGGCAGACTATCTAAAACGCCCCGCGGGAGCACGGGGAAAAGCAGAGGGCAAAGTCGGAAGGCATCTGCTGGGAGAGGAGTCAGATCTTGGGTGCACTTGGGGCAAAGATATCCGCTGTTGAACAAGATGCGCTGCAAACAAGCAAACAAAGGAACCCTCATCCTACCCTACTCTACTCGCCCGACACAAACACCCATGCGCGCGCGCGCCCGCGGGCGGGGGGGGGGGGGAGGGGGGGGATAGCGCGGAAACCAGCAAAGTAGCGCCCTCGATCGTGCCACGCGTCGCTCTTCCAGACTCGAAAAATGATCTTTACCTTGTTTTTTCCCGCCTTGGCTCACTCACCCGAAATCCGGGCTTGAAGCAGCGACCTCAGCTCCTCCTGGTGCTCGAGCGCTTCAAGCTCGGCCATCTCTCTGTTGAAATTCTCAGCAGCCGTTAGCTCTTCGTGGTCTGTATGGGTAGTAAGGAGTCGGACAGGCAGGGCATGCGTCCCTTGAGCGACAGACAGCAATCCTTCGCGAGGCACGAAGAGGTAGCGAGCAAAATGGCATTTTCGAGCATGTTGCCCTTGGACGGAACATTTCAACTTGGCAACACATTTGCGGAACACGCTGGTTTCAGCCGATTTGCTTTCTTGGGGAATAGAAACGGCTAGCTGATCAGAAACGAGACGCGATTCCCACCTGCTGCGGAGACAGGGTACACCGCCGGATTAAACCTGGAAAGGGCGGCGAGAGAAGGAGAGGCAGGCAGCAGATCCGAGGTACAGCACAGAGAGGAAAGAAGCCGGCGGAAAACATCAACCGAAGGCTGGGGGTACAATCTGTTGAGCTTTGGATCGGAGGAATCGCGCAATCGATATCGACGGAAGCGCGACCCCTACCCGGCGCTAGACCACTCACAGGTCCTCATCGGCCACTGCCTCGCGGTTGAAGGTGTTGACCAGGAACTCCGAGCGGTACTCGTCGCTGTCGAGGATTAGTACACACGAAGGAACGCCGGAGTTGAAGATGGGTCGGACCATCTGCTGGTGAACTGGGTTGCTGGGCACGAAGCTGGGAGCGTTTGCGTTGAGGGTGAACATGGCGTAGAGAGTGCTGCGCAACAGCGGTGGGTAAGGGAAGCGGGTTGATCGGTAGGTGTTCGCGAGAGCGAGGGAGCGGGGAGCGCGCGAGAGAGAGAGTTCGGTGATGTGATCGGAGAGAGCAGGTGGGGAGCTGGAACAAAAATATGCACATGTTGAACAATGCATGTTTCAGCGGGGGAAGGGGATGAGACGTTTTTTTTTGTCCGAGACGTTGGTCGGTTGTTGACACGTTTGTTTTTCGGAACACTTCTGGACGCATGATGACCACAGCCCGCCGGGGGATACACATCAGCAGGAGGAGGGCCACAAAAGAGAAATACTGTATTCTCTGACTTCCTTCTTCTGCGGTGCGTGCCTTGTTTCTTATCGCGCCAAGGATTCAGCCCGTCGTTACCCTCATCGACAACCTCGAAATGAAATCGATCTTCTTACATGCATTCAGTGGTAGTACAGCAGTAGTCTAGTACAGCAAAACGATCCACACGAAAATGTATTCGTTCTCCACCCACCAATCACTGTTTGGGCAGATCGTGTGACAGCGCCGAGACTCCAAACGTCAAGATAGTGAGCTTACCTACTGAACCAGCCACTGCTGTTGTGTGGCCGTGATCGATGAAATGGGTGAAAAACGAGGACATGGGAGCCACTCAACATCTATTTGACATTTTGTCGAAACGCGACAACCAACACCCACCCGTAGGAAGGGATTTTCGATTTTCGTCCCTCTCTGACATGAAGTTTTTTCACGAAGTGCCAAGTTGCCGCCACCAACTACTGCATGGTGCGGGCCCGACAGCCAGGTTGGGTCTCTCCTTCCTGGTCATTGCATTCCGTCGAGACGCGAGTTGACTTCATGCAAGCGTGTGCGTCTGCAAAGCAGATCGGTGAATTCTCAAAATAGTCGGGTGATCGCGGGGAAGCTTCAGCATGAATGAGCCTCCTGCTTGACCCAGGCTTCCGAAAGCGAGGGCAACACTTACCTTTTATTTTTGTTGGCCGCGCTTTGAAGCAGATTGCAAGCAACCGGCGGGAAAACGGTAATGAACCTTGGGATTGAGAGTTTACCAATGAATTGAGTTGCCGGTCATATTGGAGACCCTTCGCGTACTACCGGAAGTATACGTTTACCATCAGCGGAAACTCACAAAACTTACTTGAAATCAGGAGTGCAGGTTTCACCTCGCAGTCTATCCGTGAAGATAGCTCGCCTTCTGATGTAATAACCAAAATAATACTACCCTTGGTCGGAAGATCCAACATCACAAAACATACCCATCTCCTCTTGCATACGTTTAAAGTCGTTTTCTTCTTGCCATCACTGGGTGAATACGACCGAAACGGACTCCGTCTCGATACGCTACTACACGCTGGATACTGCGTCTGCGGCAGCCAGTTGGTGACGTTGGATCCCCAGGTCACCTGGGCGGGATGGGCGGCAACCAGCAACATGAGGGTTAATGCTGAAAGTCGTTTGCGAAGAGGCAAGGAATGCAAGTGGGAAAAGTTAACGCGCGAGAGAAGCGTGGAACGGTGTGGGACACACGTTCAATTCCAGCGAGAGCCGAGAGTGAGGCATATTAGTGCATCCATCGGGCGATTACCATCCCCTACAAAAAGCGAATCGCTCCGACAGGAAAGGCGAGGACCAGGGGGCGGGAGGGCAATACTGCGGGTATCTTGTGCCTACGGCACCCGTCTATATAGATGTCAGTGTATTGATATTGGGGTGGGCCTCTGACGCTTGGAAATCGTAGCACGAACTCTTCACCATGAGAGCAAATACCAGACAAATCGGCTGAAGTGCTAAGCTTTCCTGTGAAGCTGCCGTACCTTCCGTGTGTCCACAGCTCTCCATCAGGACGGTTGGTGCCTTCAAGTCGCCTCACAACAGTCCCTCGGGTGTGCTTGTCTTCGCCAACAGATACAAGTCTCGCCGCAGCCGCGGCTAGACGTACGTTGACGGTAGTCGCTTTTGCTTCGAAACCCATCTTGCACGAATCACGACGTATCAATCCCGCTGGACACAGTGTAGTAGCTGGGGGCAGGGGATACCAGGCACGTGAAGCGAAATGGGGGAAACCGTACGGTGAGCTTCAGGTAGGTGTGAACCATGACCCTCTTGGCTAACCCTTCAGTTCCGAACATTAAGATTTCAAGCACGGGAGACAACAAAATCACGTAGAACCCTAGTTGTTGAGCAGAATACCAGCATTCATGGATAGCGAAATCTACTGAAGGATGTGCAAGAGACTACATGTTGCAGAAGGCGAGTGCGCGAAGTTGCGTGGGGAGATGCTCACATGATGCTCGATCCATCGCAGAAGGCTGCCAGAACGCACGGTCGCTGCAGTTGGTCACGACCTTCAGTTGCACGGTAGTCTATTCGAAGGCGTTCTTCCGCTGCCGCCACGACGTCGCTGAATCTGCCAGACACGCCAAGCAACATCAACAAGCGAATCAGGGTACAGCAGTAGCGCCTAGGAATCAAGAGAGGGCCCTGTCAAGGCAGCTGGAGTTGTCCTAAAATCCTAAACTCGGGCTCCTCTTCAATCGTTGTGCACAGCTTCGACTATTTGTATATCTCTCCAAGTTGTGACAAGCCGCCTTTGCTCAAGTCAATAGCTTTCAACGTACTCCAGAACAAGCAGCACGATTCAGCATCGCCCCCGGGGGTGGCCTGTGCTCACGATGCATGAGCATATCCTCTCCCGACTTTCGACCCGCAGTATTTGGAAGAGGGGTTGATGCTGTTGGTAGCTTTAACGTCTGTTCGGTTGTCCAGCGGGGGGCACAGCTCTTGGTTGGTGCCCCACCTCAGCTATCGTGTTCATCGTCGTTGGCTTCACCAACCTTCTCGTCGAAATGGTGCATCCTGCGTTTACAGCGAACACGATCGTGGTTGATGCAGCTGACAGCTCCACTGGGACATCACCATGATCACCGTCGCGGTTGTAGCTGCGTTCTTCCCTAACAGTGGCAACTAGTCCGTGCGCTATTTTTCCGCAGCATCTATTATTGCCTCCGGGTTCTGGTGGTCCCCGCGGTGAGTCCTGCAGGGGATGTCCATGGCTTGAATCCCGATGACAGCAGACACAGGGAGGGAGATGTAGCAACGTGGATCGAACGTCCGTCCAGCCGCTCTTTCGCACGAGGTCCTGGTACACCTTTTGGACGGAGAGGCAAACATTAACATTAGCTAGGGGAGCAAGGAAGACTCTTGCTCGAGATCGTCCATGTTTTCTTGACTGTTGGATTGGGGGGGGGGGGGTACTCATAGTCGTGCATGCCGTAGTCGT